AAAAAACTGCTGCATAATTTATTAATTGACTTGTGCTCGGAAATTTGAAATCTTTATTTTAAATTAAAGTTGAATTCTTTCACTACACTTGTATGTTAAAGTTTTTAAACTCGGGTCACGCGTTTGGGCACAAATACCCAACATCATTGTACAAAAAACTTAACCGTACCATATTTTTTAAACTTCTATAAAGTTTATTAATGAGGAGAACAGCTTTTCCTGCAAATCATGTAAAGCCTAAAAGCCGTGAAGCATCGGGAACGCAACTTCTATTCGTAAAACTCACATATGTACATACACTTCAGCTTCCAACTCCAAGGGATCCGACGAATCTCGCAATTCCCTCCTTGCTTTAGCCAACTCTACTAATCTATTACCTTCCACATCATCTTCCTCATCACTAAACCATATTTCAACTGTGTCCATTTTTTAAATTTTATAATAAAAGCAATTATTTTAAAAGTGATGTAAATAAAACACTCAAGAATCAAATGTAAACAAACAAACAGCTGTTTACAATTCTGTCAACCATTCACAATAGTACATATTTTTATCGATCAAGTTACACAATAGCAAAATAAAAGATGATCGACTCGATCGACAAATTTCTATTCTACTGCCAGTCGACACTCGAAATAGGGGCTTATAATTATTGTTATTAGTAATACATAAACTGGGAACTTTTACAAACCTAGTTTGTAAAACGTTTGTTGGTATATATCTTAATGAAAATGCACACCAAATTGCTTAGATTGATGAGGAAGCCCGACTTAGCCATACCGGATTAACTTGCTTTGTGTGCACAGGGAAATTCCAGCATAACTTAATTAATCACCAAACCTACTTGATCAAATTAAGAGTTAACGATTAAAAATTAGTAAGTGTACTAAATTTCGTTCTGATAGGAAAACCGGTTAAGGAAGTAGCCTATTTTTCAATCCAGGTCATAAACCATCTTTGAACAAAATTTCATTTTCAAACAGGTGGCAATTCTTAAAAAAGTAGCCTATTTTCCAGTCTAGGTCATAAGCTATCTGTGTGCAAACTTTCATGCAAATCAGTTCAGTCATTTACGCGTATTAATTTAATTAAACTTTCCTAATACGTGATAACTCTTAAAATAGTAACCTATTTTCCAACATAGGTCATAAGCTATCTCTGTGCGAAATGTCATGCAAATCTGTTCAGTCGTTTCCGCGTATTAATTTAATTAAAACTTTTTTAACAGTTGGCAAGTCTTCCAAAAAATTAACCTATTTTCCACTGTAGGTCATAAGTTATCTGCTTGCAAAATTTCATGCAAATCCGTTCAGACTTTTCCGCGTATTAATTTAATTAAACTTTTTTAGCAGGTGGTAACTCTTAAAAAAAGTAGCCTATTTTTCAACCTAGCTCATAAGCTATCTGTGTGAAAACTTCCATGCAAATCAGTTCACTCATTTCCGCATATTAATTAAATTAAACATTTCTAACAGGTGGCAACTCTTAAGAAAGTTGCCTACTTTCTAACCTAGGTCATAAGCTATCTGTGTGCAAAATTTCATGCAAATCCGTTTAGTCGTTTCCGCGTATTAATTTAATTAAATTTTTTAACAGGTGGCAACTCTTCCAAAAAATTCGCCTATTTTCCACTGTAGGTCATAAGCTATCCGCTTGCAAAATTTCATGCAAATCCATTCAGTCGTTTCCGCGTATTAATTTAATGAAACTTTTTTAACAGGTGGCAACTCTTGAGAAAAGTAGCCTATTTTCCAATCTAGGTCATAAGCTATCCGTGTGCAAATTTTCATGCAAATCCATTCAGTCGTTCCCGCATATTAAACAAATTAAATTTTTTAACAGGTGGCAACTCTTAAAAAATAAGCCTACTAACCAATCTGGCCCATAAGCTATCTGCGTACCAAATTTCATACAAATTCGTTCAGTCGTTTCCGCGTGATGATTTCCCAAACATCCAAACATACAAACTTTCACATTTATAATATTAGTAAGAGTAAGATATACATTTACAATATGTTTAATAGTTTTTATTCAAACATTCCTGCACTTTCAGATGTAGCCCTACATAGAAAGCGCTTTCATGTAGCACTGCCTTACGAGGAGCGCTTTGTCTCCCAGCAAACCGTAACCACCAACACGGGTGTAGCCGCTACAACAACAACAAGCAACACAGGTCAACAATTTACCTTGTCTCACCTGCTGGAGAGGCAAAAAGAAATGTTTGATGGCGTCATGGCCGCCATTGGAAGAGTTGAGTCAAAGGTGGACGGAATAGTAAATGCTCTTGCCGAAAAGGTTATATCAATGTACATATTTATGAATGCTAAAATTATTCTTTAATAATTTAATTTTTTTTTCAGATGCCCGAACGCGCGGAAGTTCGAGCTCAAGGGCAGCTACTGCGAGAGTGCAAAGTGGTGACCTCGAAAGTTCACCAAAGTATTTCCCGAATCACTGGAGATGCTATTAGTAAAGAGCATACTTTGCTTAAAAGTATGCTTCCACTATCATCCCAGGAAAAGTTAAATACTTTGGAGAATCTTTTGGGAAACAAACCACACTCCGATGCGATGGTAATTTTTGCTAATTTTTTTTTTTTTGTTTTTTATACACATATACAAATGTATGTATATATCATATTAGTTGTATATATGCATTTTATTTTACTCATATTAATTATTATTTGTTAACCGCATATAAACTTTTATTCGTATATACATATGTATGCAATTTTTTTATTAAAATTTGGTTTATAGTATGTATAACAAAAATCGTAAAAACCAAAGTTCCAAACTTTGTACAAATAGTAGGAAAATTCGATAAAATTTAATTTAATTTTCATGCACTTTTCCAGCTTTTTTATACGAATTTTAAAAATGTTTTGAGTGTGCAATTCTGTAGCCCACTGATTTTTAGTATAATAATATGCAAGTTTGAAATTTTCACAAATGCGATTTTTTTGTGAACGGATTGGCTTACTTTCTCCCATACAAAAATAAACTCAATCACACAAAAGAAAATCTAAAAAATGCCGCAAATTTGTAGAAACTTAAAACTTAAATCTTATTATAATAAAATTCAGTGGACTATAAAATTCCATACTCGAAATATTTTTACAAATCGTATCAAAAAGCGGGAAATGGGCATGAAAATTTATGGAAATGGTTTGTATGATTTTTGTTGTACTATGAGCCACTTAACTCTATCTTTCAAGAACACGCAAAACAGCATATGTCAACAAAACATATTTTACCGTCAAAGAGAACTATATTATAATTAAAAAACAAAATACATATTTAGCTTGTTCCCGTACTCAAGGATTTGCAGGTTTTACAGGAACAGCTGTTTTTGCCTTTGATAAACCTTATGTGAACGTGGCGTATGGGAACAACTTTGGACTAAATCCTGCAAATCGTAGACTATCTGGAACGCTCTAATTAATTATTTCCTTTTTCGCTGTTCACAAACTTTTGAAAAATTTGTTTTCAACAACTAAATATTTTCATTTAAATAACAGTTTTTGCTGTGACTTACCGCTCTGTAAACATATGATATTTTGCTTGTCTGTGAAAGATTTTGACGATTTTTAGTTAAAGATGCAGGTTTACTATTTTAAATAAGATCTTTCGATTGGTGTTAATTTATATTTCGTTTATGTAGTCATATATTATATTTTATTATTTACATTTATATTTATAATTGCATTTACGTACATATCTAGTATTTATAAATTTTATAATCTTTTCCAGCTGAACATAATTTTAAAATTGAAGGGTGCTAAGGGTTGTGTGAAACACGTGTTGAGAAGCATTTTTGCCGACACTCTACTCATTTCATACAATTATGAGGGCAAAGCCAACAAAGCTCCACTTCTGGGGCTAAAAACAATAGAATTAGTTTTCGGTAAATATGTTTTAATTGTTTATTTGACTTATTTCAGGAAGTAATGCATTTATATTTTTCCAACAGATGCGTTCCTAAGCCACAATAGGTACAAACAAATTGTAATAAAAAAAAAATTAAACATAATAACAAATCTAACAATAATTAATTTAATTATCTTATTATTAATCTCTAAAAAAATGTAACATAAAAATTTAATAACTTTCCAATCTAAATTTCAAAAACGTTATTTAAATACGGCTATTCGGGATTTTTTGTATATCGACTGCGGAGTGGAAGATCGACCTCGGCAGCCAGTTCGAAAATGCCCTATCTCAAAAAACTTTTCAAGAACGCCCTATTTCAGAATTTTATTAAAAAACGCTTCCGAGTTCGGTTCAAAAAGGCCCTATCTCACTTCAAAATGTATTGAAAATGTGCTGAGATAGGACGTTTTTGAAACGAATTCTAAAAAACGAATTGAAAAGTTTTTTGAGATAGGATGTTTTCGAGCTGGCTGCCGAGATAGGTCGATCTTCCACTTAGCAGTTGATATGCTCTTGAATTCTGTATTTGTGGTTTTTGGTAGGTAATGAAGTAAACTTTTATATTGTATTGCTGTAAGAAATTTCACTACATTTTTTTACCAAAAACCACAAATACACATGCAAGGGCATATACAAAACATTCCGACCACCTTTATTAATTTGTAAATAATTGTACATAGTGTAAAGAGTAAATTTTAACAATAGTTTTTTTAATAATTTTATATTAAAATTTGCATACTGGAATTTTAACAACAAAAAACCTACCTACCTACCTATTTATAAAAGCTTAGTAATTAGTAAATGTAAATACATAGTTTTAAACATTTTAACAGCAGTGGCAACGCGAAGAGGTTTTTCGCGTTCGTCTTAAGTAAGTGAAAACACTCGCGTTCTGGTTAAAACGTTATAAATGTTTTATTGGACAATTAAATTATGTTTAAGTACATATATACGAATGCAAATAATAGGTTAATTACGTCCGGGATATGATTCTGTGGTGGCCGTTTTCCCGTGTGCGCGCGTTGACTGTTGAATTTGGAATGCTTTACCTTTCTCAACTTTCTTTTTGCAGTACCAAGAAAGTTGAAAAGCAGAGAAGGTGTTAGGGTGCTCCTTCATCACAATCGGTTGATTGTACACTGCCCCCCCCTGCAAGGGCGTGCTGCAGTGTATTCTACGCCATAATATTGAGTGTGTGGCGGTTTGGCGCTACGGCTGTATGCATTTGCGTATCATATTATTTTAGAATGTGGCGCTAACATTAGGCTTTGTGTTGCAGTCGTTTCCAATTATGGCCTTTCCTTGAGATGTCGTCCTGAAAAGGAAGAAAGCGAACGATTATGCAGAGGGCGTGCTCTATATGCATTTTAATCTTCGGGCGTATAAATATAAATATTTGTGTATTTTTGTAGTGTGCTTATGGTTTTGAAGGAGAGGGGTTTAATTTATTGCTCTTTGGTTTTAAAGTTTTGCGTTTTGTTTGTGCTCATGGGCTAGAGCTTATGGCGTTACGGTCTTATTTATTGCGCTCTATTTTCATAGTTTTGCGGCGGAACCGCTTATCACCCAACCAAATATTGTTTCTTGCGCTATTACATTATCTTGTACTAGCTTATACCCGCGGGTTTCACCCCGCGCTTTTATACAAATATGAAAAATAATTTAATGATGTTAGATTTTATTTCTGTGCCCATTTCGTTATAGCTCGTTATTTTTTAAGCGAGTTAAGGTATTAAGGCCGTTGAAAACTATGAAATTATAAAATTTCGCCTGCGCGCTAGGCATACGAAAGATATCAATCCCTCTAAGTTTACCTTAAAATGGTTCCAGGTATACGACGCGTGAACGTGTAACCTTCTTGGAGGTGCCACGGCGGGTTCTAATATTTCCAACTCAAATTTAGTAACCTGGCCTTGATAAAATACCACTTTTCATTACTGTAGCAAATGCCTCCCTTTTCCATTTAATGAAATTTATTCTGTCAGTACGGCACTTATAAATAAATCTCCATACCAAATTTAAAATACTTCGAGAGATTTTCTATCCTTCCAGAGATATGTAGTTATTAATAAGTTTTTAGTATGTATGTGAGGCGACATGGCCCCTTTTTTAATACATCACATTTTTTCCATGAGCAATTGATACATTTTGCATACACAACTTCATACCAAGTTCCAGTATTCTTCCACAAACACTTACAGGGATATGTGGCAAGAAAAAGTAAATTTGTACTGGAAGTGCCACGCCCCTTTTTCTTATAACCCTAATCTTCTTACATACCCCAGTACCAAGTCCCAGTACTCTACCTTGAACACCTTTAGAGATAAGCAGTATAAAACAGTAAATTTGTACGGCAGGAACCATGTCCCCTTTTCGAATAACGCAAATTTTTCTCCATGAGTATGGAATTAATTTTGTATACACATCTCGGTGCCAAGTTCCAGTCCTCTGCAATAAACACCTCCAGAGATATGCAGCATAGAAAAATCAATTTGCATGGGAGTTGCCACACCACCTTTTCCAATAACTCTCATTTTTCTCCATGAGTATGGTATTAGTTTCACATACATACATACATATGTATTTCCATACCAAGCTTGAGTGCTTTACCCCAAACATTTGAAGAGATATGCAATATGAAACTTTCAGTCAGTATGGGAGGTGCTACGCCTCTTTTCCAAAAACGTCCATTTTTCTCCGTCAATATGAACATGATTTCACACAGTGTTGGCAAACTGTTAATCTGATTAACGATTAAAAATTAAGGAGTAAAATGTTAATCGCGTTTGACGATTAAAATTAATTAGTCGTAATCAACTGTACGATTAATGATAACATTTTTTTAATCGTTAATCGCTGGCTGCGATTACGTTTAATTAATTTAAAACATTAATCATTAATCCAATTAAAAATAAAATCTGATTAATTTGTCTAATTTGTCCGAGTTTGAAACCAAACACCAGTTATAGTAATTATTTTGTGTTTTACGCTTATAAAAAGCACATAATATAAAAAAATTATCACCCCTATTGCGAATGTCGACTGGCAGTAGATAAACGACTATTAAGCGATTATCGATTATCGATGCTATTGCGAGTGTCGCTTGGTCGCTCAATTAACGACTGTGAATCGCTCATCCTTCTATTGCTGTTTTTTAGTCGTTGGAGTTTGCGTTTATAAAATTTACATAAGAAAGTGGTACTATAATGGATAAAAAGTAAGTCAATTGAACTGGAAGTTGTAAAAAATTGTGAAATATACATATGCTTATATGTGTCTGAATTACAGATCAAAAATTATAAGCAACAAAAGGCAACTGGCGCGGTTGGTCGTACTGATGCAGGAAAGTGAGGACATAGGCAAAGGAATTTCCGGAAAGAGTAGGGTAAGAAGCTCCGCTTCTATTGGGATAGATACATATACAATATTTCTTGTGCATATAACTCCAGCTACGCCATCCACAGTGTTTTTGGCAGAACCAACATCAAAAGTTTAGAAAAAACTGCTGCATAATTTATTAATTGACTTGTGCTCGGAAATTTGAAATCTTTATTTTAAATTAAAGTTGAATTCTTTCACTACACTTGTATGTTAAAGTTTTTAAACTCGGGTCACGCGTTTGGGCACAAATACCCAACATCATTGTACAAAAAACTTAACCGTACCATATTTTTTAAACTTCTATAAAGTTTATTAATGAGGAGAACAGCTTTTCCTGCAAATCATGTAAAGCCTAAAAGCCGTGAAGCATCGGGAACGCAACTTCTATTCGTAAAACTCACATATGTACATACACTTCAGCTTCCAACTCCAAGGGATCCGACGAATCTCGCAATTCCCTCCTTGCTTTAGCCAACTCTACTAATCTATTACCTTCCACATCATCTTCCTCATCACTAAACCATATTTCAACTGTGTCCATTTTTTAAATTTTATAATAAAAGCAATTATTTTAAAAGTGATGTAAATAAAACACTCAAGAATCAAATGTAAACAAACAAACAGCTGTTTACAATTCTGTCAACCATTCACAATAGTACATATTTTTATCGATCAAGTTACACAATAGCAAAATAAAAGATGATCGACTCGATCGACAAATTTCTATTCTACTGCCAGTCGACACTCGAAATAGGGGCTTATAATTATTGTTATTAGTAATACATAAACTGGGAACTTTTACAAACCTAGTTTGTAAAACGTTTGTTGGTATATATCTTAATGAAAATGCACACCAAATTGCTTAGATTGATGAGGAAGCCCGACTTAGCCATACCGGATTAACTTGCTTTGTGTGCACAGGGAAATTCCAGCATAACTTAATTAATCACCAAACCTACTTGATCAAATTAAGAGTTAACGATTAAAAATTAGTAAGTGTACTAAATTTCGTTCTGATAGGAAAACCGGTTAAGGAAGTAGCCTATTTTTCAATCCAGGTCATAAACCATCTTTGAACAAAATTTCATTTTCAAACAGGTGGCAATTCTTAAAAAAGTAGCCTATTTTCCAGTCTAGGTCATAAGCTATCTGTGTGCAAACTTTCATGCAAATCAGTTCAGTCATTTACGCGTATTAATTTAATTAAACTTTCCTAATACGTGATAACTCTTAAAATAGTAACCTATTTTCCAACATAGGTCATAAGCTATCTCTGTGCGAAATGTCATGCAAATCTGTTCAGTCGTTTCCGCGTATTAATTTAATTAAAACTTTTTTAACAGTTGGCAAGTCTTCCAAAAAATTAACCTATTTTCCACTGTAGGTCATAAGTTATCTGCTTGCAAAATTTCATGCAAATCCGTTCAGACTTTTCCGCGTATTAATTTAATTAAACTTTTTTAGCAGGTGGTAACTCTTAAAAAAAGTAGCCTATTTTTCAACCTAGCTCATAAGCTATCTGTGTGAAAACTTCCATGCAAATCAGTTCACTCATTTCCGC